ACTGAGGAGCTCCAAATCTGCGCGGACACTGCCTTTGAGGGCTAAGAAAGGGAAACGGATGGAGGATACGTCCACGAATACGGAGCGAACCGCAAGCGAATGAGCCGATTGAGGTGTGACACTGTCTTCGAGACATACTATGATTAGACGCTAACAATTTACAAGTCACCTCAACATCGTGATAGTATTTGATTTTGCTTATATATCAAAAAATCTGCAATTTTGGAGCTTAGCATTTGGCGGTTTCAGGGAGCGTGAGAGAAGGCGTTCCCATGATCGCGATAGATCACGCGATAGGGACAGGCGCAGAAGGTAAGTTTTAGTGTTCCAGTTTTTAATCTTGGTCTACCATAACCCTTTTAGGTCTAGATCGCGCTCACGAGATCGCGACCGTCGTCGCAGTCGCTCACGCGACCGTCATCATCGCGATGATAGGTACGAGAGACGCGATAGGGAAAGAGACGATCGAGAGCGACGACATCGCCATTGAGTGGTCTACCCAACGTGCGAATAGTATGAGGTGCGCGCGAGGATCACTATCCCGCGATTTCCTTCCCGCATCTATGGCAAATTACGGTTTTTCCTAAGACACAATATGAGACAATAATTTTGTTTTTTTCTGAGTGAAAATATAAGACACGCTTATATGATAGAGGCATTCATCTTTTTTGTCATTCTTATTTTCGCGCTTCATCATGTTCATCGTATCACGATTGGCCGTAAACCGTGAGAGTCTCGCCCGTACATTCTCCCGTACTTGGTGATCTTGTGCCCATCAGGTACTAAACGCTTATTTTTGTCTTTGGAACTTTGTTACATTTGTTTGAGTGTTTTGTATAATACCTGTATAAATACCGCGTAAAGACCGTACTGACGTTTACAAGGCGAGAGAACAACAATGGAGCGAGTGTCGGCCGTTTACGCGCTCCGCCGTGCATCTATACGCTCTGCAGGTGCGATTTTCTGTATAGTAAAAGTCATTTTGATTAGCACATAATGTTATTGTCGTTAAGAATCTTAGTTGAAGTGATATAATCAATAAAGATAAACGTATATACTTGTGGATGTCTTTTCTTTATTCAGAGGCATGATAGCGTCGTGATTTCGAAAAGAGTTTGTGATTTGCCAGCTGTTACGTTTAGCTGATTGTCAAAGGCAGGTATGATAGGGTTTCCCAGTTGTACGCTCTTAGTTATTACTCTTCACAGGGCTCGCAGGTTTTTTCTTTTTGGGCTATGTAATAGCAAAAGTTGTAAGGGAACTGCTAGCCTAATGCAGTTTTAGTGTCCCCATTATAGTAAACTGCGCCCTTGGTCTCAGCGGAATTGTTTTTATCCTCAGCTGCAATTTTTGGCA